CCCAAGGGATCACATTGGAATCATCTCCCTTTTTCTGGGCAAGGAAGAATCCAAAAAAAATTCCTCCACCAGATCATTTCTCCCTGTTTTTCTGTGTTTTCATCCCTTTTAAGTCAGAATCCTGAATTTTTCCAGGATGGAAAAGACACCTGGGCAGGGATGGGCTCAGTGCTGCCAGAGATCTTTTCCCACCTCAGTGATCCTGTGATTCCAGGGATGCAGAACCCTCCATTCCCATTCCCTCTGTCTGTGGGGCCCAGCTCAGCTCCCAGGTTTTCATCAGGTCAGAAATCCACGGATCTGCTTTTCCCCCCCTGAAAACGCGCTGGAAAAATCCAAACACCATCGAGTGCCGTGAATTAATTCCATGGAAATGCCTCTGATTCCTGTCAGGAAATAAAAGAATTCCAAGTGTGGGATGGGGGCTGTCAGCCCTGTCTGGCACCCGGCATATGGGGCTGGGATCTGTGGAAAAACAGGACAGGGATGCAAACAGGATGCTCTCATTAATTCTGGGAATGCATAATTAATTAATTACCCTGCCCAGGGGAGCTGCTGTCACCACGGCTCCCGGAGCCAGCGCTTCTCCTCCTCTGGTGAAGCAGGAATTGTGCATGGGATTTGTGCTGCCTGGCTCTTGGAGCAGGAATTGTGCATGGGATTTGTCCTGCCTGGCTCTGTTGCTCCTCCTGGATGCAGGAATTGTGCCCAGGATTGCTGCCCCATCCCTGGAAGTGCCCAAGGCCAGAGCTTGGACCATCCTAGGATAATGGGAATAGTTCCTGCTCATGGCAGGGGTTGGAATGGGATGAACTTCAAATCCCTCCCAGTCCAGAGCATTCCATGATTCTTTGTTTTGCTAGGAAAAGCCAGGAATGCATGAATACATTGAGGCCTTGGAGGGGCTTTTATCCTTTATATTTTCCCACCAGATTCTCCAGAGAAAACCGTGGTGGGATTCACCTCTGGAGCGGGGAGGGGAAAAGCCCCAAAATCTCCCTCTGGAATATGAAATAGGGATCCCCTGGAGCAGGGGGGCTGCAGTCCTGGATCTCCCATCCCAGAGGGATGCATCAGGATTACAAACCCCAAATCCAGCCAGCAGAGGTGATCCATGGAAGGTGAAGGGAAAACTCTTCCCTGATAATTCCCAGGTCTGATCTGCACTTCCAGGCCTGGGCTGTGTTTGCATCCAGGGCCAAATCCCCACGGAAATTCCTCTGTTATCTCCCACCCCCAGAGGCCAGGATTGTTCATTCCCAGCTTTTTCCAAGGGCAGCTGCTCTTCCTGTTGGGAAATCACAGCGGGTTCATCCCAGGCTGAGGGAATGGGATCCATCCAATATTTGGGATGACTCCTGGCTTCAGGTCAGGAATGGGATCCAGGGCTTAAAGGCTCAGGAGAAGGGAGCCAGCAGGGACAGCTTCACCTGCTGTGACTTTCCAGGGAATGATGGGCAGATAGGGAGGATTAAGTGTGAAAGGGAGAGGGAACACAGAAACCCCGAGCGTCGCCCATCCCATGGCAACAGCGCCGGATTTCCATGGAGTTCTCCAAACAACACCCAAAGGGGAGGGAATGGAGGATCCAGGAACGCCAGGAGCTGGGTGAGGTGAGCAGCTGAGGCATTCCAGGTGAGAGAGGGGCTGGAGCTGGATGAAATATCCTGGGAACAAAGCTGGGGATGAAATCAGCCGCTCCTGCCTGGGCTGCAGCTCCAAGGAGCAGGGACTGGAAATTGGGATCTGTGGGATTTAAGGATGCTGCTGGTGGGTCAAGGCTGGGCCAGGATTTTGTGGCACAGGGAATGTCTGGATCCCAGGGATAATCCCAGCCCTGGAACCTCAGGGAACAGAGAGCTGGGAGTTTACCTGGGAGTTAAAGAGGGAAGGTGCAAAAACTCCGTGCGTGCCCTGTTCTTATTCCAACATCAATCCATTGATAAATCCCAGGATAAATTCCCCACTTGAATCCCGGGAAAAATTCCAAACCTCAGGCACTTTCCTGGGTTTTTCCTCCCCTTGGGGAGCAGCCAGGACAGATCTCAAAGCCAGAGGATTCCATGGTGACCCTGCCGAAACCCAGGAAGTGCCCAGTGAAGCCCATGGATCCCGATCCCCCTGCGATGCCCACCTGGAATCTGCCCCTTGGAATTTCTGTCTCCTATTGCCACTTGTCCAAACTGAATCCTTTATTTCCCCCCCTCAACTAAACCCATTTTTCATGAAATGAAAAGTGGATTCCTGAAGGAAGCTGCTCCTGTATTTTTTCCACACACCCTTCCTTCCCATCCTTTGGCATCCAGCAGCTGGAATTCCCTTTATTCCATGGATCTCATTGAATATTCATAGCTGGAGCCTGAACCAGAAATTCCAGTTTATTTTTTATTTATTATTTTATTTCGTTTTTATTTTACCCAAATGATTTTTCCACCTCCTGAAGGTCAGGTGGGCATCGGGCAAATTTTCCATGATCTTCCTGTGAGTGTTGGTTTTTATTTCCCAGCAGAGCAGAGCCAACATTTGGAATCCTTGGATGAATCAAAGGAAAAGCTGAATAAGCTGGAATTTGGAAGGATTGTCTGTCGAGGTATTAAAAATGTCACTCAATCCCTGGGGCTGAGGGATTGGGGCTGGAATGTGTGGAGAGAAAAAAAAAAAAAAGGGATCTGGGGAGTGTCGGTGCTGTCTGGAGCTGCTGGGAAGGGCTGGCTGGGAGGACAGATCCTCCCTGGAATTTGTCAGTCTTTGTGGAAGGATGACATGTTTTGATGGGATGTGTGCAGGGACGTTGGCAGCTCAGCTGGCTCCTCAAAATTCCACTGCCAAGCTGCCAGGAGAAGCCCAGGAATGGCGTTTGGGATGCAGGGAAAAGCCAGCAGAGCTTCTTCCCAAGGCATAGAGCAGGGCTGAGGGAAGATTTGTTGGGGTGGGGAGGGAATCCCAAGGAGCAAAGGCTGGGTGGCGCTGGGAGGGATGATCTGCAGGAGCTGCTCCCAGAAAAAAATAATAAATAATTCCTTGGGCCAGGAAAAAAATAAAAATAACCCCATCCAAAGCAGCATTCCCATGGCACTGAATTCCCCAGGGAGCTGCTGGTTGGAAAGGGAATTTTCCTGGGAATTGGGGCTTTGAGAGCTTTCCTGAATTTGCTCCATAAATGTGATGGGTTGAAGAATTACCAACGGGAATGTTGGATGGGCTGGCTGGAATTTCTGTTTTCTGGGAATTGGGATCCCAATCCTGATCCAGGGGGTTGGGAAAAGAGGTGGGATCAGGCCGGTGGAAAACAAGGCCCAGGTTTATCCACCTCCTTTCCAGGGTCTGTTCCCTCCAGATAAAACCTCCCTTGGTTAATTGCAAGGATTTGATCCAACTCCATGGGAGGAGGGGACAAATGCTCTTTGCTCTACCCAAAACAGGGTTTAGCTCCTTCCCAGAAATCTGAATTTATTAAAATCCCTTTTTATTTTTTTTTTCCAAAGCAGATTTTCCTGCCCCAACCTTGAGCTTTCCAGTCATTTCCCACTCCAGAGCTTCCAGGAGGGATCATTTCAGGTGGAAAACAGAGGGAATCACAGCCCACCTCACAGCAAACCTATGGGAAAAGTTAATTTTATTAATTAATCAGCTAAACCTGGCTGTGCTGGGATTTGGAATGTGCTGTAGGGCAGGTGGGCACTGCCTGCTACTGGGAGAAACCTGGGAGTAAATTACTCATGGTGCCAGTCAGGCTCTGTGCTCGTGTCTCGGTGAGTTCCTGCCTTTGGGAATGTGAGGGTCACATCCAACAGAACAAATGGAATGATGGAATCATTAAAGTTGGGAAAAAACCCTCCAGGACTGAGGCTCCCCCTGGCAGCTGCACCAGTCAGGAGGATTGAGCTGGGTTTAATTTCTGAAAACGCAATTTTGAGTCCAGACTTACACCCAGAGGGGGTTGAGCTGGGTTTAGTGTCTGAAAACAGCTTTGGGTCCAGGCTTGCCCTCAGAACCAAGGAATGGACCCCAAATCTCCCCAGGAGCCCACGGCCCTCAGCGCTGGCATGGCCATAACGGGGTCACAGCACCGTTCATGGGGTGGGAGAGTGGAAATGGCATGGCTGCATTGAGATTCCTGTCCAGAATGTTTTCCTAATCTTGGTTTTTTTTATCCTTTCTGGCTGTGTTTGAAGGGTTCCTGGCTGTTCTGGCTCCCTGGGATGGGTTAATGACAGGAAAACAAAGCAAAGGCAGCACCCAGCACATCAGAACCCATTTCCAGAGCAGTGCTGGTGCCTTTTTTGCATGAAACTCTGAAGAAATCTCATTTTCCTTTCAGAAATCCCCTTGAAGAATTCCCAAAGATCCCAGCTGAGCTGTTTGCTGCTCTGAGCTGATCCCAGCAGTGCAAAGCAGCCTTAAACCAAGCTTAACAAGGGAATTAGAACTGGCTTAGTGTTGTTTTGCATGGCTAGAGTGGTACAAAGCCTGGAAATCATTCCCTGGAGGACCCAAAGTAGTCCCAGGCATCAGATCCATCAGGACACCACCAGAGCTTGGCACTTCCAGCTGGGAAAAGCAGGGAAGAGCCCTCTGTGTACATTTCTGGGAGCTTCTGGGCCTCCACACTTTCCTTTTGCATAAACTGAGCTCTCCTTAAAGTCCCCCAAGTCCTCCAGGGGACTCTGCAGTGCCAGACCCTGCTCCATTTGATGCCCCCAGGTCCTCCAGGAGACTCTGCAGTGCCAGACCCTGCTCCATTTGATGTCCCCAGGTCCTCCAGGGGACTCTGCAGTGCCAGACCCTGCTCCATTTGATGTCCCCAGGTCCTCCAGGGGACTCTGCAGTGCCAGACCCTGCTCCATTTGATGTCCCCAGGTCCTCCAGGGGACTCTGCAGTGCCAGGCCATGCTCTCTTTGGTGTCCCCAGGTCCTCCAGGGGACTCTGCAGTGCCAGACCCTGCTCCATTTGAAGTCCCCAGGTCCTCCAGGAGACTCTGCAGTGCCAGGCCGTGCCCTCAGACCTTGCTGGTCTGCATGTGCCCGTTGAACTCCACGTTCCTCTGGGTCAGCATGGACTCCTGCAGGCGGCTGCTGTTCTCCTGCCTGTGCTCCACGGGCTCTCCATCCTCCGCTCCATCACCCTTCCGGAGGCAGAGAACCTTCTGGAAGCTCTGCTTGAAGTTGTCAGAGAGGAAGCCGTAGAGGATGGGGTTGGCACAGCTGTTGGCGTAGCTCAGCACCACCATGAAGAAGTAGAGCCCCTCGAGGACGGGGTCGGCGGGCAGGATGAGGATCAGGTTGACGATGTTCATGGTGTAGAAGGGCAGCCAGCAGAACACGAACACCACTACGATGATCACCACCATCCTGGTGACCTTCCGCTCCGACCTGCGGCGCCGCGTGGAGCCCACGCGGATCCCCGAGGACTTCACCTTGACCACGATCAGCAGGTAGCACAGGCAGATGACCAGCAAGGGCCCGAAGAAGCCCAGCACCGAGGTGTAGATGATGAACGCCGCTGACCAGACGTTGACCGGCTCGGGCCAGTTCATGTTGCACGTCTGGAAATCCTCCTGCACGTCCGAGAAGATGATCACGGGCAGCACCACCAAGAAGGAGAAGGTCCAGACCGTGGCACTGATGAGCTTGGCCACCCTGGGGCGTCTCCACTTGGTGGATTTGATGGGGTGCACCACGGCCAGGTAGCGGTCCATGCTCATCACCGTCAGGCAGAAGATGCTGGTGAACTGGTTGATGCCGTCCACGGTCATCACCAGGCGGCACAGGAAGGAGCCGAAGGGCCAGTAGGAGATGGCGTTTTGGGTGGCCAGGAAGGGCAGGCCCAGCATGAAGAGCACGTCGGCCACGGCCAGGTTGAGGATGTAGATGTTGGTGACCGTTTTCATCTTGGCGTGGCGCAGCACCACGTAGATGACCAGGGCGTTGCCGCTGAGCCCCAGGGCGCACACCAGCAGGTAGCAGATGGGAATGAGCACCTTGTGGATGTACTGGAACGGCGGCGGCGCCGGCAGCGTCGCGTTCTCCGTCCCGTTGGGCAGCAGGGAGGAGTTGGCCTGGCCGGGAGCGGCCTCCATGCTGAACGTGCTGGAGAAGTACAGAGGATCCATGGCTTTTGTGTTTTGTTTTCTCTCTCCGTGGTTTTTTTCCCCCTCTTAGGAGAGATTAAACTTCACGGGCATCTTGTTCCTAGAAGGAAAATTCGAAATGTGAAATGTCAAAATAATAATAAAAAATATAAAAAATTTAAAATTATAAAATAAAAAAATTTTAAAATAATAAAAATAAAAATAAAAATAAAAATAAAAATAAAACTTAAAATTAAAATAAAACATAAAATTAAAATTAAAATAAAATAAAAGTATAAATATAAAATAAAAATAAGAATAAAAATAAAAATAAAACTTAAAATTAAAATTAAAATAAAACTTAAACTTAAAATTAAAATTGAAATTGAAATTGAAATTAAATAAAAGTATAAATATAAAATAAAAATAAGAATAAAAATAAAAATTATTTAAAAATTTAAAAATAAAAAATTTCAAAAATTTAAAAAAAAAAATCAAAAACTCAAGGAAAAGAGAGACAGGACTTTTACAAACTGGACTTCTACAATCACTTCCGTTTTCTCTTCTGTTCAGGATTTGGGGTTGGGTTATTCAGCCAGGGAGGAGGATGGGATCAATTCCCAACAAAGGAATTGCACAATGGGAGAATCCCCGTGCTCATCCCAGCAGATCCCAGGTTCTGTTTCATTTTCACAGGATCCAGGGCTGGGTGCAGCTGTGATGGATTTTTCCCTGTGAGGGTGGAGAGGCTCTGGAATAGAATTCCCAGAGAAGCTGGGGCTGCCCCTGGGTCCCTGGAACTGTCCAAGGCTGGGCTGGACAGGGCTTGGAGCACCCTGGGATAGTGGAAGCAACTGGGATCAGGGGAGGAAGCAAAACTTTCCATAACAATGGAAAATCCTTGGAAAAAAAATCCCTGAGCTCCGAGACAGAAAGGGTCATGTCTGAGATCTTCCCCACCAGGTCAGGGTGTGTGCACAGAGAAGGGAAGGAATAAACTCCTTTTTTCCACCTCTCAATATTATTTTTTGTGTTCCCACATCCTCTCCTTTCACCCTGAACTGTTTTTTATCCCCAAAATCCCTTTTTTCCTGCAGGAAATCCAAGCTGCAGTGGGGCAGCTCCAGGACAGCTGAGCAGATTTGAAGCTGGAATAAATTTTACCAACCATCCTGAAAAAGGTGGAGAATTTCCAACGCCCCTTTCCTGCGGCGAGCTCCATCCCCAGGAATATTTTTCCACCTTTTTGTCGGAGTGGGGTTCAATTTATCAGGTGGAGAAACTTAGAAACATCATTTAAAAAAATGGAGATTTAAAGCACCAAAAAAAAAAGGAGATTTAAAGCACCAAATCCCGGTGAAGGTGGAAGAAACACCCAGCAATTTTTGCTGCCATCACCTGACGATCAGATTCCCACAATAATCCGGGGGTTTGGGCCTGGAATCACAAACAGCCAGCCCACAGCGCTGGAAAAGCTCCTTGTATCCAGGAGCAATCTGAAACCACCTCCATCCATGGCTGGGCTTTCTCCTGGGGTGAGAAAACCTGGGGGAGAGGAGGAGCCCCTGCATCTCCCGGGAGGAATCACAAATGTGCCGAGCTGCTTTGGGAATGTGCAGATGGGGAGTAGGTGTCTCACGTGGCCGGGTGGAGATGCACCGGGGAAATGGGGAGTGCAGGGAGAGCTGAGGGAGCTGCTGGAGCTCCAGAGGGTGGGGATGGGGCAGGAGGAGCTGGGTGTGCTGCTGCTGGAATATTTGGGGTTCAGGTGTTGGGAGCATCCCTGCGATTCCCAAGGTCCCGCTGCAGGCAGAGCTCAGCCTGAGCTCTTCATAAATTAAACAGGAGCGGGTCAGAGGCTGGGTAAAGTAACACAGGGAAAAGTCCAGCTCTGTCTGAAAAAGTGGATTTTTAAATCCTGATCTTCAGCCTGGTTTGAAACCCTGAGCTGTAGCAAATCTCAGGTTATTTATGGGGGAATTCTGGGAGAAGCTGAATCTAGGACTCCTCATTCTCGGCTGGGAGGGGTTTGGAAATTCCCATTTTCCTGCTGTGACCCCACTGGGCTCGTTGAAGGGAAGGACAGGAAGGAAAAATACGTGGGATGGGACAGGCAGGGTTTATAAACTCATATCCATGGACCTGCATCCTTGGGATTGGGAATGTTCTTCCCAGACAAGCTCAGCACATCCAGGCTGGGCCCAAAAAGCCCAAATTTCCATCTGAGCCTGGGAAAACTTGGAAGGCACGGAAAGAAGCAGTGCTGGAGCTCAGCAGGGAAGGTCAGGAGGGGCAGTCATGTGTGGCTCATCCTCTAAAACCCGGGAAAGGAAACCTTTTCCAAAGTGCCTTTTCCACAGCGCACATCCTTGGATGCAGGACTGGAGGAATTGCTCAGTTCAGTCCTGCTCCTTCCAGCACCGTTGGAGCTCAGGCCTTGCAAAGAGGAGCTCTTTTCTTTGGATAATTCCCATTTCTTCTCCCCCTGGAGGAATCCTCCAGCCCCAAATCCCTGTTTGCAGAGAGCCTCGGGCTCTCCCAGCCATCCATGGGCGTTCCAGGGGATTTTCATGAAGGACTTGGGTGTGCTTTCCATGGAGAGGTGAGGATTTTTTGGATTTTTTTTTTTTTTTTTGTGGATTTTTGGAATTTTTTTTTTTTTTTTTTTTGTATTTTCCAACAGAGAGGAATTTCCAGGAATTCCCTCAGCAGCCAGACTTTTCCTGGAATTAGGGACGCTTTGTCACCTCTGTGTTTTGGGGCTCTCCCCGTGGGTTTGTGGGAATATTCACCTTCCCCTCGGGATGTTTGTTCTGTGGGATGAACTGCACCACACCTCTGCTATTTATTCCTGTCATTCTGAGCGGATTGGGAAGGGAATCCCAGAACCCTGGAATGCTTTGGGTCAGGAGGGACCTCCAAGCTCATCCATGAGCGCCTCCCATGCTCCCAGGCTGCTCCAGCCTGGATGTGGACAATTCCAGGGATGCCCCAGTGCATTTCCTGAGGGGAAATCCATTGCTTAAGGCTCTGCTGCAAACCCTTCCAACTCTTCCCTGCTGTTCTCAGCACCAGGGAGGAATTTACTCCACTGGACATCCCCCATTCCCAGGATTTGATGTCCCAAATTCCCCCAGATCTGCAAACCAAACTCAGATCCCCATCCCACATTTGCTTCCCTCAGCCCTTGCCTTGCAGCCACCAGAATTCTGGGATTTTTCCTGGAGAAAATAAAACCAAACCAGCTGCAAATCCATGTTTTCCTGGCTGCCTTGGAGGAGCACAGGGAATTTTCCCCCCTGTCCGGGTGACAATTTGTCCCTCACCAGCACGATTTGGCCTCAGCTCCTTTTGTCACCACGACCCTGAACCTCCACAAAGGGTGATTAAAGATGATGATTAAAGGCAATTAAGAAGCGCTGATTGATCCCTCATGGCCTTGTTTGGTGTTCTTAATTAAGGGATTAATAACAAACACGCCTCCGGGGGGGTTTTCTCTCATCCAGCTTTTTGTTCCCCTTTGATTTCCAAGTCCCCCACCCTGGGATTGTCCATAAATTCTGGGTTTTCTGCTTAAAATTGAGGAGGTGGGAATGCGGACCTGGAATAATCACTGACAGAATTCCAAGTTTTAACAGAGCACCATCCAGGAAAAAATCAGCATCCACAGCAGCTGAATATATCTCTGTCCCTGCTTCCCAAAAAAATTCAGGGAATAAATAGCAGAGGTGTTATGGTGCTAGAATTTCACATTTGTGAAAACTCCTAAATAAACCTGGGTGAAAAAAAACCCCAAGGATTAACAGAACAGCGACTGAAAAATCATCCCAACCTAAGGAAAAACAAACGTTTAAAATGGAATTAAAATTTTTAATTTGAAATTAAAAATGCCCAAGCAGATCAAGGCTGAAGTTTTCCCTGGGCTCAGGTCACAGCAGCAAAACAAAAATAACTCCATGGAGAACATTGCATGAGAGTGGGGCAGGGCTCGGGCAGGAATTGCAGGAATTAAACCTGATTTTCCAAGCTGGATTGGATCCTGCTGCCTGTTTGCCTCTGGAATCATCACTCTCTCATCCACGATAATTGCTGGGAATGGAATTACAGCACCAGCATGGCAGATTGCTGCTTCCAGCAGCAGGATAATTAGGGATAGCACAGACAGTGGGAATCCAGCCTTTTCCAACTGCCTTGGGAGGAGAAACACCCCGAGAAGTCTCCAGGAATCGTCTCCTGACAGCAGAGCTCCCATCCCCTGGGGCTGGCTGCCACAAATCCCTGGGCTTTTGACAATTTCGTCATTTTCGTGGTTTGGAGCTGAGCGTCCGTGACCCCAGAGAGCCCCTGGGGCCTCGCTCCGTGGGTTTGGGTGGATGGGGCAGGCAGGGCAGGGCAGCTCTGGGACAGCTCAGAAATCCCAGGAAAGCTGGGTGGGAGCAGCAGGGAAACGCAGCATCACCCCGAGAGCTGCCTCAGCTCTGAGGGATGGAAATGTTCTGTACAATGCAGCGGGGACACCTCGGCTTTCCCATCCCCACCACCTGGAGTTAAAAAAAAAACACCCAAAGGAATCCATTCAGATTCTCCCAAAAAGGAATTTTCTCCTTGGACAAATCTTTGATGCTTCTCAGGGGGTGTTTGTTGCCCTGAAAAAAAAACAAATTATGGATTTTTCTCTGCTGAAAACGAAACTTTCCCACCTGAAATTGCTGCTCTGCTTCCACTCTCTGAATGGGGACTAAACCAATCAGCTGAATTACAAGCTCAACAACTTCTTCTCACTTTTAACCCTAAAAAAATCTTTTTAAATTGCGTATTTGGCGCCACTTTGTTACCCCTCAGCCCTTCCCAGGGTTTCCCAGAGCACCTGCTCTGAGAAGCTGCTCCTGTCTTTAGGAAAAAACAACTCATGAAAAAACCCATAAACACAAATCTTTGCTGAGTCCTTTCTTTTCTCCCCAAACACATTTCAGTCGTGCTCAGGGATTACTCACTCGGGCTGAGCTGCTCCTGCCACACCAACACTCATGGAAAGCAAAACT